ATAAATACACATTTAATAAATGACAGTGAGAGGTTCTACTCCTTGGGTGATGCTGCATATTTACTAAAAGAGCCGTCTGAAAAAGCAATCTGGATCTAAGACAGAACTTGTGCTCAGAGAGAAGGAGCAGGAGGAATGCAGAGCAGGGAGGGTCCCTCCAGAAGGGGTGGTTCTGCACACACCTGCCAAGGGTGCCTGTTCCACAGTGGACCCCACCTTTTATTCCGTGTGAGGAAGCCCCCCAGGACCTTACTTTTATGTTTTTATCAGCTCTCATTGCACAGCCAATCATCAGTTGTCCCTTACGATTTCTTTTGCATCAGCTGGTCAGCCGGTGGTTCTGCTGCTCTGAGCCAGGCCTGATGGGTCTTGGCTCTCGTAGGCATCTGTGGTCAACTGTGGATCATGTGAGGGCTCCAGGCAGGAGGGTGCAGCTAGCCGCACTCCACTGGCCTCCTTGTGACCGGCGGCTAACTGGGCTGTTCCCCTGGCCTGGCAGGGGGAGAGCGTGACCACAGCAGGGCAGTTCCAGACCTCCCAGAGCAGTTTCCCAGCTGCACCCAGAAGTGTCGGGAGGAGCCTATCCGGAGGACGGCTCAAGGGAAGAGTGGAACGTGGGAATCATCAGCGCCACCCACCTGCCACAGATGAAATCACAGTGACAGTCACATCACTTTACAAGACTAAAAAGTCCTAACAAGATCTCCTCGCAGTAAATATGTTCCATGTGGTTTACCATTTATTGAAAAAAAAAAAAAGAATAAAAGAAAATCTTATGGCCATGTCCCCCAGCTAACAAGTCACCTCCACTAGAAGAAATGTTTGAAAATGATATGATTTTTCAAAAAAAAAAAAAAAAGTTCAGGCTTGAAAATAGCCAAGATACACTGGTCTTTAACACAGGGAGAAATCCGACAGAAACAAGCTCTGTGGGAACACACCTGAGACAGACGGCCGGGCACATGGCGGACGCAGCTGGCTGCTGCCCCTCCTAGGGGGCTGGAGTAGAACAGGGGGCGTGGGTTGCTTGGCTGCTGTTTTTTTTAATATTTATTTAGTTTTAGTTTTAGGTGGAACAATGTTTAATTTTTATGTGGTGCTGAGGCTCAAACCCAGTGCCTCGTGCATGCTAGGCAGGCGCTCTACCTCTGAGCCACAACCCCAGGCCCTATTTTTTTGTTTTTGATCTGCATCCTGATATCACCTGCACAGGTCTCGGCACCCAGGAAAGTTCAGGCTGAGGAATTAATAAGTCAGACACTTTGACCAGGACCTGTTGCCCCTCAGGGATCAACAGCTGGACCCTCCCTATGACCCACACATCACAGCCCAGAACTTAACACACAGTAGGTTCTCAAGAATTGCTTCAGATCAGAATGAATAGTTGTACCAGAGCCAGAGCCATTCAGGGTCAGGGAACAGAGTACTTTCTTCCCTGTGCCCCATACAGCCCAGTGCTGCCCTGGCACACAGCAGGTCCTCAAGAGATGCCAGATAAATAAGCGGCTCAATCTCCTCAGTACCAGCACAGGAGACAGCAGGGTGAGGACCGTGGAGTCTGGTGCCTCCCTCTGACCAAACTTTGTCCAGTCCAGTTCTCAGCACACAGAAGGTCCTCAAGAAATGCCCAGGGTCCTAAAGAATAACTGTATACCCCCAGCACCAGCCCTAGAGCCATTCAGGGTTAGAGATCACACAGTGGGCTCCTCCCTATGCCTGATACATCACCCAGCCTAGAACTCAACACACAGTAGGTGCTCTGGAAATGTTGGGTGAATGGGCAAATGAGTGAAATGGAACCCTAGTTGACAGTTATGGACAAAGTTTGGTCACCCGAGACAGCAGGTGAGCCCAAGCGGGTACTTGGACCCTTCTGCGGAGACCACTAGGCTGTGGGAGGGGCCAGGACTGTGGGCGGAGCCACGATTGCGGAGAGGGCTAGGCCAGTGGGCGGGGCCTTCTGAATCCCTTCCAAGAGCAGCCTAGTGGGAGTGCGCAGGCGCAGGTGCCTCCGGTGCCTCTCAGTGCTTAAGTGCTGAGTTCACAAGGGGCGCTGGGCTGTGCCAGCAGGTGAGGGATCTCCATTGAGTCCATTGGCACTGGGCGCTTTGGCATTGTGTCAGTGTTGGCTGATCCTCTGGCGGTGAGCTCCTGGCGCTGCAGGGGAGCAAGATTCTGCCTGAATCCCTCCTGCTGTTTAAGAGTCTACCCTGAGTCTGCTGCTGTAGGACCCTAGCAGCAGACTCCAGAGGAATCATTCTAGAAGACACTTCCGAGCTTGTGACCTTGAGACTCTCCAGGATTAGCAGGGAATTAGCTTGCGCTGATTGAGCACCGGATGCCAAGCCCCCACCCCCACCCCGGGGGGGGGGGGGGCAGCGTGCAGCAAACTGTCAACCCCAAGCTGGTTGCTCTGGGGAGGGGACTGCTGTCCTCAGAGAGTCCCTGAAGGGCGTCCAGCATTTCCCTATCACCTCAGCCTTGTGGAATTCGCAGGCTTGCGCACAGATTTCCCCTGCGGATACTCCCCAGAGGCCACTTCCAGATGCCACCTGGGTCCACGCCCTGCTCTAGAGTGGGCAATGCAGCTTCAAGGGCATGGGACCAACGGGTGGGAGAGGGCGGGGTCCCGCTCGCACTGCTCCAAGCACCTGGAGGCTGCTGCCCAGGGAGCTCTGCAGGAACCGCGCTGACGAGGCTCCCCTGTTGCCCCTCAGCCGTGAGAACCGTGCAAGAGGCCCGAGAGGGGCGTGCTGCCCAGGGGCTAGGGCCTCTCTGCAGGGAGACGTCCAGAAGGGGCACCCGGGGCAGGCACAACCCCCGAGCAGGCACTTGCACTCCCACAAGAGAGGGATCAGGGAGGCTGGTACGAGCAGGTCAGGAGGCCAGTGTGAGTACTGAGGCCCCCATGGGTGACCCCGGAGTCCAAGGGGGCAAAGTTGTGCCTAAGGAGGGCGCCTGTTGGTGGTGCAGCAGGAACCCTGGGCTGCCGAGGCCAGCTGCGCCCAGCTCAGCATGCAGCCTGCGGCCCAGCGAGCAGCCCGGGCCCCGCGTGCCTGGTGTGGCCTCCTGGTGGTCCTGATCCTCTTCACATCCATAGCCTCCATGGAGCCCCGGCTCTGTGGCAGCCCACGAGCTCCCAGAAGAAAGATAAACACACACACACCACACACATCGCACAGACAATAGACATCACACACACACACACACAATTTTAAAAAGAGCAGAATGAAAATATCAACCAGCATTAGACAAGGAAAATTTTAAGGCAAAGGCTGAGTTGAAGGCAATCATTTCATATTTGATAGAAGATTCAGGGTCAAGTTTTAACTGACATTTATTGAGTGCCTACTGTATGCCTGGAACTGTGCTTGGTGTATTACATATATTGCCTATTTGACTAAGACAGCAGTGCTGGACTTATCTGCATTGATTTACACAGCTATTGAATACATAAAGCCAATATTATAAAAATATATTGGTAAACCAGTTGTGCTAACAGATTTTCACACAGTCTGATTAGTTTCTGATAGATGCAGTGGGCCACATTAAATCACATGAAATATGAGCAGTATAACTGACCGTGCCTGGCCAGTGAGCAGACTCAAAAGCAGTTAACTTCTACAGACGATGAGCACACGCTCATCTTAAATGTCCATTAAACTAGAGAAACCAGTTATGTCCTAGGCTGCAGTAACAGCTTCTCACAATGTCTTGAAAGAACATCTATTCTAGGCCACGTTCTCTGTTCACAGTGCAGTAAAACCAGAAACGAATTTTAAGCAAAATTTAGCCAAATCACTGAGATTCAAAGCACTCTCTAGGAACACTACAAAAACAAAACAAAACAAAAAACTATATAAACAAGAAGATGACTCACCAACTTTGACATGTGGCCAAGGCTGTATCCAGAAGTACATTTATATTTTTAAATATGCTATTATTGCAAATATAAAGAGAGTATAGATTAAGTATTCAACTTAAAATTTGAGATAAGGAATAAAAACAAGTAAAAATAAAACACAATATATATTAAAGAAAAAAGAATTACAAATGAAAAATAATGGATATAAATAAATCCTAATGCTGACTCTTTGAAAAAACAGTAATAAGCCAGTTAAAACTTTCAAATCAAATTATGAAATAAACTGCAGGCAGAAGTTAAAAGGAGAATATGGCTAGAACACAACAAAGAGAAAGTCTGTGTTTAATTATAAAATAGGACACGTAATTAAAGTAGCTATCTGAAAAAGTCTATGGAATGAAGAATCCTTTAGGGGATGAAAGGCCACCGTAAACCATCAAAAGGAACAAGATGTAGAAGGTATGAATAGACTGCCATCGTGAGGGTATTGAGAAGGCTGCCCAAGGGTTCCCCTGACCCTCCCCTCTGTGGCTCTGGGACCTGGCTGCCTTACTGGTAAACTCTTCTCCACTGGCAAGGCCTTGGGCCCTCTCAGGTTACAGAAAGTATCCCAAAACAAAGAAAGGGCGAAGGTACTCAGGTCTTCCTGGGATGCAAGCTAGCCATGATGCCGAACTTCACAAAGATAGCACCAATCTCACTCGTGAAGAGAGGCAAGAGTCCCACGTAAACATGGAATAATGGAATAAAAGAACTCAGCGTAGGAAGACTGGCACACCCCAGCCCCAAGAATGGGAAGACCAGGGTGCCAGGAAGTCGCCAGATTCCACAGCCGCTAAGCTGTTTTCACCTCCTCTGAAGTTAAGAGGAGTCTTCTGATTGTTGACATCTTGCAATTGATTACCATTTTTTCTCAGTGATATATAAAATAAAATGTGTTTTACAATCAATGAGGCCTAATTTTAATGAAATACAGTAATGCAAAATCTCATACTAAAAAGTTTTTTTTTAAATCATCTCAGTGGATGTTTGAAAGGCATTTGATAATATTTCATACTCATTCCTGATTTTTAGGCCAAACATTTCCTTAAAATGACACAGGGTATCTATCTGAAAACAACAGCCATTCTTATAGCTAAATGTGAAACATCATGGGCATCCCCGTCAAAACCAGGAACAGAAACAGCACGCACACCACCAGGACTATAGTCGTATGCTGTGGAGCTTTCGACCACTCCACAAAGCCCTGAAACAGAAGAGAGGTAAGTGTGAACACCACAGGAAGGGGCCGCCACCATCACTTGCAGGAAAATAGGATTATCTGGCCAGAAAAGAAACAGCACATCAAAAGAAAAGCTTTTTGAAATTAAAACGGTACAACAAAGTGACTAGATATAAGATAAATGCACAAAAATAACATGCCTATGGTCCATTGGAGAAAATTTCAGAATAATGGATGAAAATTTGGTTTAGAAAGTCTTACAGATTTAAAACACCACTTCAACTCTGGTTAGTTATTGTTGTTCATCTCTTCCTCTAATTTATAAACTATACTGTATCATAGGTATGCACATACAGGGAAAAACAGGACATACAGGATGTGGTACTCTCCTGGGTTTCAGGCATCCACTGGGGTCTTAAGACATGCCCCCCTTGAACGTGGGGAGGTCTCTGAGCAATCTTCAGAGGTGAATACTGCACGAAGCGGCTCCCAGAACAGGAAGTAGATCATCACCAGCACCCAAGTCCCCAGGTTCCCTCCCACTCTCTCTAGTCCACCTCTGTCCTACCTCTAGTATTGTGGAAGAGTTCACCTGTTACAGAAACCTTCACCAGGGAACTTTTCTGGGCACTGGTATTTCTTTTTTCCTTTAAACTCACACACTCGGATAGGATTTGCAAGTGTTGCACCTGCTTATGTTTATAGAATGGTAGTAACAGGACCCTTTTTTCCTCCAGAGTGGGAACTTCTTCACTCTTGGAATACAACTCCAAGGAAGGAGCACCTGTCCATGCAGAAGGTTCAGCTGGGCTGACCAGGTGAGTGGATTGATGGATGAATGGGTGGATGGATGGATGGATGAACCTGAATGGGTGAATGGATAAGCGAAGGACCTCACAGAGGCCTCTTCAAACAGTCTGTCTAAATTGACCTTGGGTTCCTTCCGGAGCACATGTGGATGAAGTTATATACATATCATGTGGAGACCCTTCACTTGTGTCTGACCACCATAAGAATGTGTCCTCTTTCCCACAACCTGCTCCTTGATCTCTGCAGTGCTTTGACTGTGTCCCCCAAATGATTGCAGTGGTCTACAAGACCCTGCGTTGTCTACCCCATCATTCCATGGCCTCACCTACTACTGCCCTCCACTCCTCTCCCTCCTTATGACCCCTGTGCTACTGCTCAAGTGTGTAGGGGCAGGTAGGTTGGATAGATGAATTGCTGGCATGTGGTTAAAAGGGTATATGAGAAAGCATGTAGATAACTAGATACATGGGCGATGAGATGGGAACATAAGTGAACAGGGCGTTAAGGACTGGGCAGATGAACAAGTGAACATATGAATGATTGGTGGGTGTTCAATGGGAGATGGAGGAGTGGATGGGTGGTGGATAGACTGATGACTAGTGATAGAGGGTAAGTAGAGGGGAGAGTGAATGGACAGATAAGTGAACAGATAGGTGAGGTGGGTGGATGGACAGATGAATGTCACAGGGATATGGATGAGTGGGTGAATAATAGTTTGGGTGGATATAACAGTGAACATATGGATGAAATGTTGGTGATGTTTGAAAGGATGGGTAGATGGGTAGATGGATGGGTGGGTGGGTAGATGGATGGGTGGGTGGATGGATGGATGGATGGGTGCAGAGATGGGTAGATTGGTGGGTGGGTGGATGAGTAGATAGATGGGTGGATGGATGGATGGATGGATGGATGGGGTAGATGAGGATGGATGGGTGGGTGAGTGGATGGATGGGTAGGTAGATGGATGGATGGATGAAGAGATGGATAGATGGATGGGTGGGTGGATGGATGGGGTAGATAGGTGGATGGATGGATGGGTGGGTAGGTGGATGGATGGGTGAGAGGATGGAGGGTAGTTTGATGGATAAATGGGTGAATGGATGGATGGATGGAAGGGTGAAGAAATGGATAGATGGATGGATGGGTGGATGGATGGGGTAGATAGGTGGATGGATGGATGGGTGGGTAAGTGGATGGATGGGTGAGAGGATGGAGGGTAGTTTGATGGATGAATGGATGAATGGGTGAATGGATGGATGGATGGATGGAAGGGTGAAGAGATGGGTAGGTGGATGGGTGGGTGGGTGGATGAGTGGATAGGTGGGTGGATGGATGGGTGAAGAGATGGGTGGGTTTATGAGTGCAGGGATGGAGAGCATGTGTGGATTAAGTCACATACATATCACATAGTGTCTTTGTGTCTGATCACCATAAGAATATGTCCTCTTTCCCACAAGACAACTCTTGGAAATTCCACGGGGCATGGAAATCCCAGGCTAAAGAGGAAAGCATGGCAGCCCCCTGAGGTCCTCCGGGTGACACATTTATGGAAAAGGAGAGAAGCCCGCCTGCCACATACCTGGGAGTCCTCTGACTCATCATCTTCCTCCACTGAGCACCACTCCTGGGAAAGTCCAGTGTCTTGAGAAGACAGCTCTGACGGGGGAGGAGCAGAGAAGGAAGGAGCCATGAGTGAGTGACCAGGCCACTGAGGCAGGCCCCTCTCACTCTTCCTACTGGCGTCCTATCCTTCTCTGCTGACTCCTGCCAGCTGCACTGGCCAGTATAGCTCAGGTGGGCAGGAGAGGATGTGAGAATTCGGACCCTACAGCCTCCCGGTCTCACAATGGCACACCTGACGGGCCCTTCTCCCTAGGCCTCGTCCCCTCATGTGTCCACTGGCAGGAGGTCTTCTCCATGGGCCTCCAGCAAAACTGACTGAGGGAGCAGAAGCAGCAGCCAGGGAGTGACATCAGGATGACAGCTTCCTGGGGAGATTTCCCACAGTGGCCCCTCAGTGTCCTCATCCCTAAGCTGAATATCCTGGGCAAAGACTGGCATTTCCCGTCCTCCTCTGCTACAGCCCCACAGGGCCCAAGCCTCCTCCTCCCTCCCACACCTAAGCTCCATCCAGTCCCCGGCCTCCGACCCAGGGAAGAGGACAGTGGAGGATGGAGGAGGGGGACCGTCCCTGGAGGACGGTCCAGCCCCCTCTGCAGTGGGCTGAGGCTCAGATGCCCCCGCCTCAGCAAACAGCAAGCTGTCCCACTGTCTTGGTCAGAACCCCAAGGGCCACCCTTGGTTTCTCTCACTTCCCCATGTCCCCAGCAAGAACCAATTCTCCCTCTCAAATGTGGCCCGAGTCTGTCCACTTCTCTCCCCTCTCTCTCTCTTGGACAGCTGCCACCCGCGACCTCGGAACCCTGCAACCTCTCAGGCTCAGAGGCGGGGCTTCTCACCCTGGGCACTGCCACATTTGGGCTGCATGGTTCCTCGTGGCCAGAGTCCCACAGATTTACAAAACGGCCTAGACTTCCACCCACTAGATGGCAGCAGATGACCCCCGTTGGAGTAAACCAATCCGTCCCACTGCCCAAAGCTGGGCACGTCTGTTGTCTCCACTGGAATCTGAGCCCTGCGGGCCCTCCCACTATATCCCCAGCCCTCACCACGGTGCCTGGCGTACAGCAGTGTCCACGCTTGTCACCAAGTGTCTGTGTCCACCCCCGGTAGCCCCTTTCTTTGCTGATTCTGGGCTTGATCCTGCGGCTCATCCTGGCCAATGGCCGAGGAATAACTGGGCACTCAGCAGAGACCTGCCGCCTCTCCTGCTGCTCCTGAGAAGGCCTGCTAGAGACCCATGGCCCGTGGCCACCAGCTAGCCAGCCAACACCAGCCAGGAATGAGGGCTCCGTCTCCCGGAGCCCAGCTGAGACCCTCCCGCCTCCCCCGGGACCCTCCCTCACCTCTCTCACTCTCGCAGCCAGAGGCCCCGACGTCCACGGCCTCCCGGTCCTTGGCGAAGCTGGGGTGCGTGGACTTCTCCCAGGCCCTGCTCTCCCAGGGCAGCAGCACCGTGGCCCTTTCGGGCTCCAGCAGCCCCCGCGTCTGCTCAGGCCCGAGGCTCTGCATGTCCCCAGGAGGACGTGGGGCTTCAGGGACGGCTTCTCCTCTGGTCCCAGGAACAGGATCCAGAATCTAAGGACTGACAGACATCCGGCCGCTCAACGCGTAGTTAAAAAGTGCAGGGCGCCAGGCTCTGTCCCAGATGCCAGAGGCACCCAGCCATCACCACAAAGCCACACTGTGGGATTCGCGCTCGAGCGGGAAGAGAGGGGACGGCAAGGACACGGTGTGTCCACGGCAATGAGTGCCCGGAGGCCAACAAAGCAGGGGAGGGAAGGCTGGGCTGAGTGTGTGCCCACAGGCGCACACTCCCGATCCACACCCGAAGCACAGTCGCGGGTCTTCAGAAGACAGAGTCACCCTCAGGTCCCTGCCTTGCTCATGGTCTGTCTCCAAGCATCCATAGGTTGGCGACACCACCAGCATGGGGATGATAGGAGGTGGGGGGCCCTTTAAGAGGTGGGGCCTACAGGGAGGTCATCGGTCACCCAGGCCTGTCCTTGAGAGGCAGCAAGGAGGTTTCCAGGGACCCTGGTTAGTCTCTGACACCAGCCCCGCCTTGGAATCTCTGGCTACCTGCCTGGCGATGTGGTCTCTCCCACACACTCCCACCAGAGGTCCTGTGTGTCACACGGCAAGGCCACCCTCACCAGGGCAAACCAATCGTGGGCTTTTGATTTTCCACCACTGTGGGCTAAATAAACCTCTTTTCTTTATAAAGTACCCAGTCTCAGGTGTTTTTCTACGGCAATGGAAAATGGATAAATCCAATCTTCTGTCACCAAGAGAAGGACCTGGCCTTCCCAGAGGGCCTGCAGCCCCACTGTCTCCTTTGTCATAAAAATGACTGATTTGCCATGTAGGGGTTTAAAGTCTGTGATCAAAGAGACATTTTTCGATGTTCTCATTCTGTATCTGACTAACCTGCAACCAGGAAGCTGTTGGCAAGGAGCCATCTGAACTGTAATGACTTATAGTGATGCTGACCGCCCCCCACCGGGATCTGCTGCAGCAAGGTGCATGCATCCCTGAAATCACACAGATGACCACTGACCGCCCTGACCACTGACTGCCCTGACCACTGACTGCCCTGACCACTCACTGCCCTGACCACTGACCGCCCTGACCACTGACCGCCCTGACCACTGACTGCCCTGACAAATAGTTACTTTTTAAAAAATGCACACGGTTAGAGTGGGAATCTTCTTAAAGCTTTTTCTTCTTTGCTTGGGTCATGCAAATACAGACTGTTCTATCAGATCTTTAGACCTGTAGATTCAAAGAGAACTTAGAAACTCAACAGGTCTCTGAAGTGGAGGATTCCATGTTTGGATGCAGATTATAAAAACCGCTAAAAAGACTTATTTAAGAAGAGCATGTGAATTCATGAAGAACTGGGGATTTGATGAGACCAAGGGACTGCCCCTGATTTTGCTGAATGGGGGACAGCATTGCAAAGGTGTGAGAAATGGTCCATCTTCTTTCTCCAGAGGTGCTCTCGCAGAATGTAGGGGTGGACTGATGGGATGGCCGAGATTTGCTTTATGCTCAGGCAGAGAGAGGAAGGCCACCTCCAGGAATCTCACCTGTGCACAGAGCAGAGGAGGCTTCCAGAGCCGGGGGGGTGGGCAGGGAGGAGAGAGGATGGCTGGGTTTGGGGCTGCCGCGGGGCCTGAGGACAGCTTCCAGTGCAGTGTCCTCCAGCCCAGCAGGGACCCGTGGAGGGGCACCGGTGTCCTCCAGCCCAGCAGGGACCCCGAGGTTCCCCATCAGGAATAAGTAAGTGACAAATGTCTGAGGCGACAGACATGCCCATCGCCCCATCTGTCGTCACACATTGCTCACAGGTCCTGCCACGCCACACTCTACCCCTTAGATACGCCAACTATCATGTACCCACTAAAAAGAGCTCTGCAAAGAAATAACAAAAATATAGACAAAAGATGAAGGCGCCCGGCCTGGGAGGGCAGGAGGTGGCGCGCATAGACATCCGAGATGTCTTGTCGTGGGTGTGTGACAGGTGACGCACACTGAATGACGTTTATCAGAGCAGGTCAACAATAAGCTGATAGTCACGTCTCGTGCACCTGTGGATAGGCCGAATGTGCCCTTTACTTCTGCATCACGAATCATCATCCACGGCTCCCTGGTGGGGAGGGTGTCTCCAGGCCCACCACTGGCCCGACACCTCTGCCCACTGTCTCCCCAGGCAGGCCCCTCCTGGGTCCTCCACCATCTCCACAGGCATCAGCCACCACTGTCCCTCCCCACGCCCACATCAGGTCAGTGGCGGAGCCCACTGCGCCTGCCTCCTGACGGGGCCTCAGCTCTCCCGCTGGCCTGTGATTCTGTCCCCAGGACGCAGTAGCCTGACGCTGCTCTCCCTGGTACCAACCCTGCTCCCAGACCACTCCTCCACCAGCTCGCCCCCTCAGGCCCCCGTGGGCCAGCTGCAGGCAGCAGACAGACCCTGGCCCTGCCCTCTGCGCTCAAGGGCCGTGGGCAGAGATCTCAGGCATGCCCAAGACCTGAGGAGAGAGGAGCCGGGGAGAAAAGGCTGCCCTTCTTGGCACTGGGACCCCTGGGCCCTCTGGGAAGTCGCAGCTCCTGCTGGAGCACCTGACGCCCCGCCAGCCCGTCTGAGGGCTGTCCCGCTCAGCTTCCACTGTTTGCTTTCATGGTCACCCGCCATCGCTGTTAACAAGTACGACCGGTGGCGCTGGCCTCCTTTATATCTGGGACATGCGTTGCCCTCAGAAACTCCAGAAGTGGATCTAGGGGGCGGGCTGCTGCATGGGAGCCGATGGGAGCACCTGACGGCCCATCCACTCCCGGGCCGCGTAGCACCATCTGCCAGGGCTGAACACGCGCTCGCCCCAGGACACGGCAGTTCCACTCCTAGGCACTGACCCAAGACAGGTGGAGCCTGCATCAAACACTAGTTCACGGATGTCGACACCCTCTGTCATGGACACAAGCTGCGCAAGCTCTGAGTAAACCACTCAGTGCATCATGACAGGCCAACCACCAGCCAGACGGGACACGCACGTTGTGTCCATTCCCACAGCAGACCCTGCACGAATCTGCCATGTCTGCACTGCAATGTATGCAGGTAGGTAGGCAGGTAGCTGGGGACAGAGAAGGACGGATGGGTGGACAGACAGATGGGTAGACAGAGAGATAGAGACAGAGATAGATGGATGGATGGATAACAGGTAGGTAGGTGGATAGGTAGATAGCTAGGGATAGAGATGGATGGATGGGTGGATGATAGGTAGGTAGGTAGGTAGGTAGCTAGGGACAGAGAAGGATGGATGGGTGGACAGATAGATGGGTAGCAAGGGAGATAGAGATGGATGGATGGATGGATGGATGATAGGTAGGTGGGTAGACAGGTAGGTAGCTAGCTAGAGATAGAGAAGGATGGATGTGTGGACAGATAGATGGGTAGATAGACAGAGATAGATGGATAGATGGATGGATGATACGTAGGTAGATAGGTAGGTAGATAGCTAGGGATAGAGATGGATGGATGGATGGACAGATAGATGGGTAGATAGATAGAGATGGATGGATGGATGATAGGTAGGTAGATAGCTAGGGATAGAGATGGACAAATGGATGGACAGATAGATGGGTAGATAGAGAGATAGAGATAGTGGATGGATGGATGATAGGTAGATAGGTAGATAGGTAAGTAGGTAGGTAGATAGCTAGGGATAGAGATGGATGGATGGGTGGACAGACAGATGGTTAGATAGAGAGACAGAGATAGATAGATGGATGGATGATAGGTAGGTAGGTAGGTAGGTAGGTAGCTAGGGACAGAGAAGGATGGATGGGTGGACAGACAGATGGGTAGATAGAGAGATAGAGATAGAGATAGATGGATGGATGGATGACAGGTAGGTGGGTAGATAGCTAGGGACAGAGAAGGATGGATGGGTGGACAGACAGATGGGTAGACAGAGAGATAGAGATAGAGATAGATGGATGGATGGATAACAGGTAGGTAGGTAGGTAGGTAGATAGCTAGGGATAGAGATGGATGGATGGGTGGATGATAGGTAGGCAGGCAGGTAGGTAGGTAGGTAGCTAGGGATAGAGATGGATGGATGGGTGGACAGACAGATGGTTAGATAGAGAGACAGAGATAGATAGATGGATGGATGATAGGTAGGTAGGTAGGTAGGTAGGTAGGTAGGTAGCTAGGGACAGAGAAGGATGGATGGGTGGACAGATAGATGGGTAGCAAGGGAGATGGAGATGGATGGATGGATGGATGATAGGTAGGTGGGTAGACAGGTAGGTAGCTAGCTAGAGATAGAGAAGGATGGATGTGTGGACAGATAGATGGGTAGATAGACAGAGATAGATGGATGGATGATACGTAGGTAGATAGGTAGGTAGGTAGCTAGGGATAGAGATGGATGGATGGATGGACAGATAGATGGGTAGATAGAGAGATAGAGATGGATGGATGGATGATAGGTAGGTAGGTAGGTGGTAGGTAGATAGGTACGTAGATAGCTAGGAATAGAGATGGATGGATGGATGGACAGATAGATGGGTAGACAGAGATAGAGATGGATGGATGGATGATAGGTAGATAGGTAGGTAGGTAGCTTGAGATAGAGATTGATGGATGGATGGGTGGACAGATAGATGGGTAGACAGAGAGATAGAGATGGATGGATGGATGGATGATAGGTAGATAGGTAGGTAGGTAGGTAGGTAGATAGCTAGGGATAGAGATGGATGGATGGACAAATAGATGGGTAGACAGATAGAGATGGATAGATGGATGGATGATAGGTAGGTAGGTAGGTAGGTAGACAGGTAGGTAGGTACGTACGTGGATGGATGGATAGCAAGACAGATGGATGATGAATAGGTAGAGAGAGATAGATAGGTAGTAGGTAGAAAGTGAGAGATAGAGATGGATGAATGGACAGATGGATGGGTAGATAGACGATAGGTAGATAGGTAGGTAGGTAGGCAGGTAG